TTTTACCAGTAAAGTTGAACAGTTACTGTAATGTTATTTCAAACCGAGCCACATGGAGATTTCCCAAAAGGACAGAGCAGGAATAGGCATTCTTTCATCAGTTTTTCTGCTAACTCACCATCTACTCTCCATCCCAGCGAGATATTACGTTTTTGTAAAATTATCTCCCGGACAGAGCCAGTGGGAATTACACTCAAGAGACGGCTAATGACGTTAGAGTGCGTCTGCGTAAACGTCCAGCCCAAGGTCACCATAGGGTTGGACTCACACACAGATAGCAATGGGGTTCTATATGCCAAAATACAAAAACAATCAGAATGCAAGGGTGATATCATTCACATGTTCTAATGACACCTTTGACTTACACATATACGCTATACCGACATGCGTAGGATACACAGACGCACCGCTCCAAAGTGTCAACATCCACGTGTCGATGACACCTTCAATGTCACAGATACTCCTCTGATTAGAGCAGTGTTTCTCAAAGTGGGGGGCGCGCCCTCCCTGGGGGGCGCAGAGGCATGACAGAGACCAGGAGGAAAAATTGTTATGACAAATAAAAATGACGTCATGACCGGCGGAGGTTACACTTAGAAACCTTAGAAACCTATGAGGGTGCTGTAGGACCACAGGTGTGTAATGTACATTTTGAGGATGGAAGGTCAATAAGCAGCGTCAGGGGGGCGCTAGGGGGTGCTGCAGGTCCCCCTAGGATAGCCATAGCACCCCCTAAGCACCCCCAATAAATGTATGTATTTTTTATTTTTATGTGTGAAATTCATAATTTGAAAAATGATTGATTCGAAAATAATATGATACAGTATAGTACAAGTACGTCTGGGTCTCTGTGTTTCATTCAAGCTCGGCTCTGTGTGTGTGTGGAACAAGCCATTTTGTGTGCGTGCGCGAGAGAGAGAGAGAGAGCGCACCGGTACCGGAGATTGTTGTTGTTAGCATCTGGTGCTAGCTAGCTACGCTAACGGATATAAGGAGCTTTTTCAACAACAAGGTGGAGGGAGAACTCTCGCCTGTCAGACTGAGAGGCTCAGATAACCTCAGCTCAGTGAGGTCAAGGACTCTCTCAGTGTTTAGATTACCCACTGAGATTAGTTATCTCAGTGGGTCTCAAACGGTTTGGTCACGATTAATGTAAACAATTATTTCCTAGGCACACGTTTATATGATCATTATAGGTATCAAAAAATAAGAGAATAAATGAAATACAGTTATGTAATACTATGACAGTAAAACAAGAATACAGTTTAAAAGGGGAGTGATTTGTAAAATATCCATAAAGAAAAAGTAAATCTGTTTACAGTTCTGTTTCATATGGGTGTGGAGAGATGTATCCATAGATCTCTTCATTTTGCTCTCAAAGTGCACCAGATTGATGCTTTTAACTTCAATATTTAAAAAAAAATCTTCCCTGGGGAGCATGAAGAAAATGTGCAGTGCAAAACAGGCTCATTGCAGCCACTAATGCTGTGATAAGACACACTTTGCCAAATATCAGCATTTTCTTTCTTTTCATTTTTTTGAACAGATTGCAAAGTGGCAAAGTATTATAACTTATTGTTCTAGCAAAGGGAATGCACAATTGTATTATGTATTTATTTTTTTGAGCACACAGACTTATGGAGCATTGTTTTATTATCACTGTTCTAGCAAAGTGATTTTTTTTTTTTTTAAAGGAATGCTCACGTTCATATTGATGCATTTTAATTATTACATTACATTACATGTCATTTGTTAGACGCTTTTATCCAAAGCGACTTACATACTCAATACTGTGGACAATACCCACAGGAGCAATTTGGGGTGAAGTGTCTTGCCCAGGGACACAACGACATGCTGACTGCAGTGGGACTCAAACTTGGTACCCCCTGATTCGAAGTCCAGCACTCTATCCACTGAGCCACAGCCGCCCAATGATGTTAATAAATGTTAACTTGGCCCATTACGTGACTATTTGTGTTGGGGGGGCCCGGCTTTTTTTTTTTCTCCAAAGGGGGGCCTGACGGAAAAAGTTTGAGAACCACTGGATTAGAGGCTTTATCTCCCTCGGGCTGGGGCCAACCTTGGAAGACCATCATCATTTCTGGTCTGCAGTTAATCCTTCTGCTGTCTGAGCTAATTGTTAGTCTTGAACTTAGCTTTGGGTCAGACGGGTCAAAATTCAGTTGGTCTGCAACAAGAAATTAGCAGAAGTTTCACATCTGTGGATTCTTACTTAAACAGTTTTGTAAGAGTGCTTCCCAGACTCGAATGAAGCTTTTTTCAGGTGCTCCTTGAATAAGGACACATGAAGACCAGAAAAAAAAAAATAACCTCAAAGGCACTCACAATAAATGCCTGTACTGTCATGGTACGGTCAGTCGTGTTAGACCCCAGAAACAAACTGAAGCGTTTCAGCATCAAGGCTTTGTCATGTAACAAGTGGCCTTTTTATAGTGGTATAATATCCTTAATATGAATCTTTCATTTAACATGGTGTGGCTATGGTTCAGGGGGTTGTGCTGATCTATTAATCTACCAATGGTTTGACCCAAGCTCCTACAGCAAATGTTGAAGAGGTGGAAGTGTACTTGGGCAAGATATCGTAGGCCATATTTCTCCCATAGGCATGTCTATGGTATTGTGACTAGTGTTGTTGCCTACAGAGGACGTAGACATGTATTTCATCCACTTTAACTGAAGCAAAGACTTTGTCAGAATGGTTCAAATAATACATAAACAAGCAGTCAAATTCAACAATTCAACAAACGCTGTGTGAGGTTTGCATGTTCTCCATGTGTGGTTCTCTCCATAGCCCGAAGACATGCAACTTGGGACATTGGAAACTACCAACTCCCAGTAGGTGTGAATGTGTTATCATGCCTTGGTCATGGAATTATATCAAAGGATTTCTGATTTTTAAACCATCACATACACATGTATATTTTGCACTTCTATGGTGAAACACATTTTTCTCCTAAGCAGTGAATGAGTTCATTCAAAGTTGATGGAGGGTCAAAGAGTTTATTCCTCACTACCTTATATAGTTGTAAAACAATACACACACACACACACACACACACACACACACACACACACGTACTAAAGGAGGTCTAACGCTTAGCTTAACACAATTAAGAATGTGTATTTGTACAGGGACACACACTCCTCTCTCTCTCTTCTCCCTGGTGTAATAAGCTTTTATATGTGCATTTGTGTGTATGTGTGTGTATAGTGGGAGTGTGTCAGGGGTCTTGTAAATGAGCGGCTGACGTTAAGAGCCTTGCCACGTGCCAGAGGAGGTCTGCTACGCTGGTTGAGGACTTCTCATCCAACGATCAAATGAACAAGGCATTATGTTTGAGCCAAGGGGGCTGTGTGTGTGTGTGTGTGTGTGTGTGTGTGTGTGTGTGTGTGTGTGTGTGTGTGTGTGTGTGTGTGTGTGTGTGTGTGTGTGTGTGTGTGTGTGTGTGTGTGTGTGTGTGTGTGTGTGTGTGTGTGTGTGTGTGTGTGTGGTGTTAGCTTAGCCTCCCCCTCTGACTCTGCTACGCTCTCAGTATGTCTTGCTCTGTTTTTTCTCTTGCAGTTGCTCTGTTCTGCTCAGTGTTTCCTGCTGTTCTTTTTCTTTCTTTCATCCGATATGCCCTTTTTTTCCTGTCTTTACAATTCTTCTTTCAATCTGCCTATTTCTCCCTCCCTAACTCCATCTGTCTCGTATGTTTAGGTGTGTGCCAAATGACAAACACGGTTAGGCCTTGTGTTCTTTTCTTTTGATGACTTTATTTCTTGTGTGGAGTTTTATATCTTGATCGTCTTGACTAGACTTACATGTATAACTTGCAATATCAAACCTCCCAAGTGTCAAAATGACACCCCAATGGGGGCGCCCCACTGATTCAGTGAACGAATAAACATAGTTTGACCTCCGTAATTTCAAAAGGTCAGACGTAGGTTGATCTTTCCCTTTATGCTTCACCTAAAAACATGTTCTTAATATAAATACAATGTCATACCCTCCCTTTCGTCATTGCACATCTTTATCTTTGTATCTTTTTAATCCTAGAAGTAATCTTACAGTATTTATTTGGGGAGGCACAGAGGGGAACAGGCACACGTGCAGCATTAGAAAAATCTAAAACGCTCTTGTCTTCTTCTTCCCACGGAGATATAAACAGATGACATCACAGGGTGGTCCGCCCTGCGTTGAGCCGAGCTGAGCCACGCTGAGTGGGTCTCTGCTGGTCTGCCAAACAGATGGCGGTAGCAACAGAATGAGGGCTGGAAACAAACTTTAGAAAAGTTTGTACAGCCGGACTCATGTCGCTCAGAGTATAGACACAAAAGCAGGTCCTTTTCTTGACTGAGCCACATATAAAACACACAGAATAATATTTCATTGACATAGTTCCTAGCCTGGAGATCTTTTTGAACCAGAAAAATATTATAATAGTTTCTCCCAGGGATTTAAAAAGCACTGAGACATTTGGCAGGGGCACCCAGCTTGTTGGTAATTAGGTCAAGAAATCTTGTAATGTGCGCCCACCCACAGTAAGGGGAGTTGGAACAATCGGCTACTCACAACTGTCTGACATTTAGACTGGGATTTTGGGGAGGGGTAGAGGGAAGGAGAGGAGGAAGGAGTAAAAAAAGGAGAAGCTTTACTGCTTTCTCTACCTGGGTTTGTTGTAATAAAACAAACCTTTGTCGTAGAATACTGTGCTAAAATGTTGCAAAAAAGCTTTTTTTCAAATGTTGTATGTAAATTAATTCTACTTTAAGTCAGTGTTTTAAATTACTTTTTTTCAAAGTGTATATACTGTAATGTTTTAGTTTTACTCTCAAAATCATGTGATGGACATCTGAAGTCTGCAGCAAGTTACTTTCTTCCTGTTGTTAAGGAGAAGTATATATAATAGAACGTAAAATGATTGAATGACTTCAACCCCTAGCATAACGTTCTACATTGACTAAATGTGACCCTTGTCTCCACTCTGTGTCCCTAGATGAAGTGCCAGAGAGTCCTCACCTACCTGCGGATAATTGGGACCACCATGTTCGGCGTGTCCCTCCTGGTGGGAATCTCCACGGCCTACATCATGGGTTACCAGTTTTTCACCACAGCACACAATCACCTATCCTTCGGCCTGTATGGCGCCATCTTGGTGGTCCATCTCATCATCCAGAGCCTCTTTGCGCTCTTAGAACACCGAAACATGCGGCGTTCCTTGGAGACGCCGATCAAACTCACTAAGTCCTTGGCGTTGTGCATCGCAGCGTACCAAGAGGACCCAAACTACCTGAGGAAGTGCCTGGTGTCGGTGAAGAGGCTGACGTACCCGGGGATCAAAGTGATCATGGTGATTGACGGGAACGCAGAAGATGACTTGTACATGATGGATATTTTTAAAGAGGTCATGGGTCGGGACAAGTCGGCCACATACGTGTGGCGGAGTAACTTTCACAGCAGGGGGGCAGAGGAGACGGACGAGAGCTACGCTGAGAGCCTTCAGCAGGTCTCCAGGCTGGTGCTGAACAACAAGTGTGTGTGCATCATGCAGAAGTGGGGAGGCAAGAGAGACGTCATGTACACAGCCTTCAAAGCTCTGGGGAGGAGCATTGACTATGTGCAGGTGAGTCCGTAGAAATAGACATGTATACTAAAAGAGGGGTTTAATGAGAAGAATGAAGGAATAGGAATAGGAAAAGGTGGAGGCTAGAGTTTGGTAATGGTTAAATGAAAGTAAAAGGGCCACACAAGAGTAGGAAACCAAAAAAAAAAAGCGGGGGCACTGATGTAAATTTGACACCATTATATAACATAAAATATAATTTATAATGAGCCTGTGTGTATATATTCACACATTCACAGGTAAGATAAGGACAGCTGTCATCAGTGTGAGCTGAGTGAAAGGGAAAAGAAAGAGGGATGGAGAGAGAGATGGCTGTAGAGGGGAATGGGGGGTTCTGCCAAACCAAACATGGGGTCCACAAAGAGCCTTTTGTGTTGCTTTCAGACGGACGGTGGCTGTGTGCATCATGTTGTGCAGTGTAGCGTGAAGCAGGGCAGCAGTAGCTTATGTCTAAGTGTAATGACAGATCTGTTTAGTGTTACAGCATCTACATGAACCAAAAACGGTGTCAAAGAAAGGGTTGCTTTGGTATGCATCTGTTTGACTGTTTGACATTACATGGAATTTAAATAAATACTGTTCAAAACCAGTTGAACAATTAGGATCTCAGTCTATGTTAATGACATTTAAATTATATCTTTGGAAAAGCCAGTTCCCAAGAGTGTCTGGCAGGGGTATACATGAAATACTCAAAAAGTAAGCAACCATGGATGTAATGAGGTGCTAAACACTGGAAATAGACTTAGGTATGGAAAAAGTGTCCCAGACCCGGCTCCATATGCATGTCTCTTTTTTCAAATGATGTTTCAGCCCTCAGGACTTCAACATCAACACATTGGCTGGCAGATGTATATGAATACCTAATATTGCCTGTATCATGTGGTTGTATGACTTAAGATATAAACAGAAGCGTGGCACCACATAAAATGATTAAGGGCCAGCACTGTTTTTTATCCTGTATCCAATTGACATTAAAATAAATATGAACCGACGTTACTTTCATAGTTTGGCCAAAACATCAATTCTCCTCACGTCATATTTGTACTGTAATATTCAGCTGGCCGTTTTACATAAACATAACATGTTGAACAATGAGTAAAACACAACAGAAACCTCATTATTTGAATAACATTAGAATGATATTAATGAGCATTACGGAAAAGGGGACTTCAAGTGATAAAACCCTTTGATATGGTGCTGCCTAACACCTGCAGCTCGGTGACTGCCAGAAACCTTTTGTTTTACAGCGATTTCAAAAAACTAACTTCAGAGCTGCCAGCAGTGATGCCAGTATCCTTCAGAAAAGGAGGGACAGAGTTGCCTTTGTTCCACCATCAGTATTTGCCTCTAACAGATGTGTTTTTAATAGGGATCTGGCTCTAGGTTTGTTTTCATCAACTGATTTTGTTAGGGAGTAAAATGACCATTTATAGAAGTAAATAGAGAGAGCAGGAAGATAGTGGGTGGTGATGTCATTTGAAGGAATTACTCATTGTTGCAGGCGACAATTAATTTACTATTGCAATATTTGGACTCAACTCAAGTACATTTTATTTTTACATTATATATATCTTTATACCCTGGTTTCTGATAAGGAAAGATTCCCTGTGAGACTTTTTACATGACAGTACCAGATTATCTTTGGCACTAAAACAAAAGTAACTTACTGTTTATTTTGTTGGTTTTACTCAGGTGTGTGACTCTGACACTATGTTGGACCCGGCATCATCAGTGGAGATGGTGAAGGTTCTAGAAGAAGACCCTATGGTGGGAGGTGTTGGAGGAGATGTGCAGGTTGGTTCAAAATTAAGAAAACGTTCCTATTCCACGCAAGTGACACATTTTGCAAACTGACAATTCCATATCAATCAAATGTTTTATGTTCAACCACCAACCTTTTCATTCGGCATATCGATTTCTCCCTAGATCCTGAACAAATACGAGTCGTGGATCTCCTTCCTAAGCAGTGTGCGATACTGGATGGCCTTCAACATTGAACGGGCTTGCCAGTCCTACTTTGGTTGTGTGCAGTGTATCAGTGGGCCTTTAGGAATGTACCGGAACTCTCTTCTGCACGAGTTCCTTGAAGACTGGTACAATCAGACTTTCATGGGATCCCATTGCAGTTTTGGGGATGATCGCCATCTCACAAACAGAGTTCTAAGCCTTGGATATGCAACCAAATATACTGCTCGAGCAAAGTGCCTCACTGAGACGCCGATTACATACCTGCGGTGGCTCAATCAGCAAACACGATGGAGTAAGTCATATTTTAGAGAATGGCTATACAACTCCATGTGGTTCCACAAACACCATCTATGGATGACCTATGAGGCTGTAATAACGGGCTTCTTCCCATTTTTCCTCATCGCCACCGCAATCCAACTTTTCTATCAAGGAAGGCTTTGGAATATTCTTTTGTTTCTGCTTATTGTGCAGGCGGTAGCGTTGATCAAGGCAGCGTTTGCCAGCTGCCTCAGAGGTAACATTGTCATGGTGTTCATGTCATTCTACTCAGTACTTTACATGTCAAGCCTGTTGCCAGCTAAGATGTTTGCAATAGCAACAATCAACAAGTCTGGATGGGGGACCTCTGGCAGAAAAACCGTAGTGACGAACTTCATTGGTCTGGTTCCTATATCAGTTTGGTTTACCATTCTCTTCATTGGGATTATCTACACAGTAATCCTGCAGTCTAGAAAACCCTTTCCTGATTCAGAAAAGATTGCTCTGGTCATCGGGGCAGTCGTCTATGCCAGTTACTGGGTCATGCTGTTGACGTTGTATACAGTGCTCATAAATAAGTGTGGGAAGAGGAAGAAGGAACCCCACTATGATATGGTGCTGGATGTTTGACTTACTTACAGTCATCACTTACCACTGAACTTTGTTTCTCGGCCATTTCTTTACTCACACCATGTTGTTATACAAATGTTTTTTAGATGCAGAAAAGCTCTGGAGGCAAAACTGGTTGAGTTCAACTATAATGGCCAAACAGGGTTTTTTTAAACTTGAAAGGAAAAAGAACATGTAAATGACAGTGGCTGCTTCTTCTTTCTGTTCATTCATGACCATTGTCCTTTATTATTTGGGAAAAGCATGCTAGCTAATTAGCTAGAATCTTGTATATAACTAGCTAAAGATCAGCTCCTGTAAACTCACTAGGTAAACTTGACCACTCAGTATGGCATTGTTTAATACATTGCAGTTGGCTGCAAGAGTGCTAGGCTTTGTAACGTTAGCTACCTCTTACCCATGTCATTTTCAATGGGCTTCAGTCTAACGTTTGCAACTCAGCCAAAGAAACTGCCTTTTTTGTAAATCCATCCATTGGGGTTTAACTTGACCAGAAAGAATATTCTTCCTCCAGAGCATCATTGTGTCTCCACAAAATGTTTGTACACCCTAACTAGAAACACATCTACATTAAGCCACAGCCAATGGAAGCAAAGAAACAACACCACCAGCAGCTTTCTCCATTGTCCTGGATTACTGGTGTTTTTGTAATTGTAATATGCAAGTATCTGGATGGTCAGTGTACATCTCATGAATAGGTGAGGTTACCCACATAACCATAGAAAACATATCCACAAATAGTCACAACACATCTGTTTAAAGCTTGAATACCACAACTTCAAAGTTCTTAGCTTTTCTGAAGGCAAAGCATTGGGGTAATTTATCAGTGTTTAAGAATCTCTTTGGAAGAGCTAAATAATCCATGAACAAAGAGTGAAAAGGGTGCAGAAAGGGCTTTAAGAAGAAAAGCTGCTCTTTTGCTGCACTCGTGTCATATTGGACACTTTCTCATAGTCTTCACACATTATAAATGTATTGATCTGTTTCAACAGAAGAATTTGTTTAGTTTCGCTGTTGTCAATGAATTGGTGCAACTTCTAAATATCAATGGTAGTGCACAGCTATTTGATGCAGGCTTGACATTACAATTCTTAATTTCCTGCTTGAAAACTAACGCATCACTGGCCTCGGTGCATGTAAAATGAATGTGAAAAGGTGCAACATGCATAGAAGTGTCCAATCATGCTATCGAGAGGCTACAAAATCCATTTATATCCATCATAAGGTTATTTGTTATTCCCATATGACATGATTGCAGTCATTCTCAACGTTTACAAAGTGAAGAATCTCAAACTGATCACTGATTGGTGGATATAATCTCACAGGGGACCAGGTGAACATGTGACCAGAAGAGAGACGGTGTACCATTGCTGCTGTGACTGTTTTTTTTATGGAAAAAAATGACTTTTTGTTTTACTTTTTTTATATGAATTATGAGCGATATTGCAAAAATGGTTTTAACACTATTATTGGTAATGTTTTATCTTTCTTCCAAGTTGAGTGATAACCACCAAGTAGACATGGTGGACATGTTCCAATCCAAATACTTTTTTGCCTTCCATGTGTCCTTGCTCTCGTCCTATAATTCACATACTGTATCGAAGATAGCTTCCTTGTATTATGTTGAATGACCTTGTAAGGAAGAAGTAAATGTGAGAAGAACACATTAATGCACCAAATGGGAGAAAAGTACTACCTGATAACAGGAATGTGAATAAGGGCACTTCATGGAAAGGAACAGCACTTTGGAATGAAACGAGTCCAGTGTTTGCTAAAGACCAGGAGCAGACATGAGTTTAATTCTTATGCACTTTTATGTCTCTCCTGTCTTCCAGCATGATGCTTGACGTAATCAAGATGAAATACCTCAGTGGTTCTCTTTGCATTGCATTAAGGCATTAGGATGCCTTCCAAAGACTGATGCATTCTGAAGGTCTCAAGTAATTTATGATCTGTTTGTGATATTATATATAAAAGTGTCCTTTTTTATACACAGTTCCTTATTAAGTCAAAGCTGGATTTCTCTGCCTAGTCGGCCCTTTGCTGTAGCCGTTTACTTGTTGTTACTTTGTATTTCAATGCATTTTATATATAGACATTTTTTTCTACTTCGCTTAGCTACCAAAGATTCTTTATTTTCACTCATGTTTTTATAAGAAAAATGGGAAAATGTATTTGTTGTGCTTTCAACTGTTCTGACAATGACTTGTATATCTGACCAAACAATGTGAAATTCTGAGCTGGGGGGTTTGTCTGCAATAACAACAAGATATATGTAATTTGTAGGGATAAGTTATTGATTTCAAGAGTGATGATGAACCTGTGTTTTTGTACTTTGTACTTAGATAGAAAACCAGCACATGTATGTAAGATAATTCTGTGGTTTATAGAATTCTGTACTTAGTAACATGGCCTATGGTATACATGTAAGACCCCTAAGGATATATTTGTATACACTGCAAAAAATACATTTAGAAAATGTTTTTATATATATATAACGTGAACATAAGTGCTACACTCCAAATGTGTTTGCAGTCGTGCATCCCATGTTCAATAAAATGAGCAATAATGCCAAAGCAGACTGGAAACTGTCATCAAAACATTTGCACACAAATGTAATTATTTGCAAATTATGTTTTAAAGTTGGGAGGTGCCTTATGGAGCAATAACAATTTAGAAAAACTTGGGTGACATTTTTATACACTTTTAATGATGGTTTTATTTCAAATGTGATTATTGAGACCAACAACAATGTGGTTGTTTTCATGTCAAACTAGTCATGGGCAGTGTTATCGTGAAGCACATTTGTGTTGTGCCAAATAAAGCAACTTTTGTTAACATGTTATGCTGCTTGAGTTTGAATGTGTTGGTTGGTTGTTTCCACATCAATTTAATGAAACATTTGGGACACATCATCAGTAAAGTAACCTGGGGTCTTTGGAGGTTTCAGTTATTTCATCATCAGAAGCCCCCGCAGGAGATGATCAAACCCTGGCTTGTGTCCCAGTAGCACTTACACTCTCAGGCTACCCCTGTTAGACCTAATACAATCTAGTCTAGAGAATACTTTCGCTGCCTCAAAGGCCCTCTTCATTGCTTTTGTTTTATCCACTTTGCCAATAAAGCACCTGTATTCCACTTCCCATCTTAATCATATAGCATTGGGAATTCCACCCTAGTTGGACCTCTTCTTCTCATGGAGAAAACCACAAGCTTTGAGTTTGTGTTAAAAATGTCATTAGACAACTCAACCCTTTATCTACTAAGAAGGTACTGTAGCAACTATCCAAAAAACAAAGCTTTTCCATACACACTTTTGCCTTTTCCCTACACCGCCTTTTCCTGAAATGTTGAAAAGAGACAGGATTTGGAATAGATTTTAATTATTGTTGGGTTATAGGGATATTTTATAACTCAATTTCCACCACCAGCTGTTAGGTAAACTGTCATTTATTGGATATAGATTTTCAGTTTTTACTTCAATATTAAGCAACGTGATTCCATTAGTAAGTAGTGGTGAGAAAGTGTGCAGTCCAAAGGTGAGTCAGTCTATCTGAGTTTGCCAGAATTTCCAGATGGCCAGTCCAACATATTTGGATTTAGAGCCCTTATGAGGAAACATAAGTTATGTTTATGTGTGTTACGATAGGTGTGTGCAACCAAAACCATAGAGGGAATACATTTATGGAGTACAAAAAAGAATGCTGGAATCACTATCACAGTGATTTGGGCGAGTGATTTGTAATGTGTTTGTGTTGTGTAAGTTCTGTGTTGAATAGTATTGAACAGAAGTCGAACAGAGGTCCTTTATTCACCAGTGTAGAATAGGGTAGATGGTTGTCAGGGCAAAAGTAAACTTATTTACTTGACACACACACACACACACACACACACACACACACACACACACACACACACACACACACACACACACACACACACACACACACACACACACACACACACACACACACACACGCACACACACACTTCAACAGGGTTTCTTCAATGTTATACTCTGTCTGCTGGCTGGCGTTGCTGGCAACAGAAAATGCTCAAACGTATGAGGCTTTAGTTATTCACTTCTGAGGCAAAACACATACTAAAAACGACAGTGCTTTGCTGTTTTAGGAATTGAAAAAATCTAAATCAATGTATTGTTGACCGGTTGCTAAAAAAATTGGTTAGGGGAGAGAAGCTTGAAATCAAAGCACAATGTTGGTCTTGAGGTTTTTATTGTACAGTTGTATCATCAAAGGACACAACACATAACATGTATGTGTGCTATTAACTGACCTGCCATCATTCATAAAATATATCATCAGCTAGATATAACTGAATATAATAGGCTTATCCATCCATCCATGAGGTGGACTTCTACACAAAGATGGTAAGCCATAAATCATTTTTAGATTTGCTTTATTCTTATTTGGATTCTGGGCGATATCTGCTACCAAGCACAAAGTATTCTCAGTATTTTCTAGATGCCTCAACCACAACTAGCCAATGCCTAGTATTCCTACCCTTTCTTCTATTTGCTCAACTGCAATTCTTTGTAACACTTTTACAAACTTTTTATCTTGTATTTTCTTTGTTTTGGTGTCTCTTGTGTTAGGTCTCTTAGTGAAGTAATTCAAATTCTTGCAGAGGAGAATTACACATGTGGGCAGAGCAGCAGCACAGTGGAAGCAGCCAGGCTTTGCTTTTAGTGCGTCAGCAGTCAGCACCATCGCTGCTTTAACTCTGCCAAATGCATTACAGCACCGCTGCTTAGTGCTGTTGCTTGCTCTCTAATGGCTCCCCATTGGCAAACTGTCTCCAGCAGCTGACTGAATCATACCCTGCTTGTCCCTCTCAGCTGGTTGCTACTTTTCTTAGGGCTTTGCAACTTCACTGCTCTGACTCTCATGTGGTCAAACTGCAGTCTGTAAAATGCCTACTGAATGAGTTAGGCTGTAAGATTTGGAAGGTTGTATTTCCGCATCTGAGAGCACATACTTTAGTTC